CGGCATCGGCATCCCGGGGAGCTGCAGGCACCGACATCCCGGGGACCCGCGGCGCTGGCATCCCGGGGCGCGGCGAGGACCTTAAGATCGGTAACACAGGGACCGGGGCACCCGCAACCCGGGTAGCCGGGGTACCGGAACCCCCGGGCATTGCAGGGGTCAGCACCCTGGGGTGCGACGGGGACCCGGGGCATCGGCATCCCGGGGTGAGAGGGCAACCGGAGCAGCGGCGTGCAGGGATGAGCTTGGGGAAGCGAGGCACCGACATCCCGGGGTAAGCGAGGAGCCGCCGTGGCGGCATCCACAGCCCGGGATGCTGCCGGGTGCCGGGGCGCAGGGACTCTCCTCCCCGTCCCTCTGCGGGCGCGTGTAGGGGAGTCCCCGGCCCCGGAGCCTGCCTCCCCCGGGGGCTGCATGCCCCTCTCCGGGGAACGGAGCACGGAGGTCCCTCTGGAGAGCCGTGCAGGCGCAGTGCGAGACCAGGGAGTGGAGGCTGGCACAGCGCTGGGCTGTGGGTAATCACCCTCTCCTGCACCCGAGGCGAGCAGGGAGTCCCCCGTCATCTCCATCTCCAGCCCTGGGCATTTTGGTGGCCTCTCAGCGTACAGCAGCAGCTTGTGCTCTGCCTGCAGGGAGCAGCCAGTAGTGGGAATCCCCCTTCCATTCTCCCCACTGCCTGCCTGGCAAACCCCCGCACCGCCCGAGGCGAGGCTCGCTCCTCAGCATCTTGAGACGCTCGGCAGTGAGGATGGGGCTCTGCAGGGACAATTTTGGGTGACCAGAAAGCAGATGTCTCCTCAGTCCTGTCATATGGGGACACCACCCAGCAGGAGATGGGATGCCACCCAGCCCCACTGCCCCCCTCAGGCACTCAGCAGGGGACCCCCAGTCCTACCCAGTCCCATGGATATCCTGCCCAGGATCTCCTCGGTGGTTTGCAGCCACCACCCCTGCCCACCCCGGACGTGCACGGTCACAAGCCCCGGGTGACAGGGCGTTTAGGTCTAGGCTACAGGCAAAGGATAAGAGGTTCCTCCTCCTCTACGCATTTCTAATGGCTCCTTTGAGACAAGCCACACGACTCCCTGCTGGGAAGCCTCGCTGAGCTGTAAGTACAGGGTTTTTTTATTTGGGCTGTTAATCTAAATCCATTGTATCTGGTTGGAAAAGACCCTGTGTGCAATGCTCCCTTCACTTGCTGCATCCTCACTTGAATGTCTGTTAGCACCTTCCTTCCCACTCCCTTGAGTTCCCTCTGCCAGGTAGAATAAATATACTAACTTCCATTTGAAAGCCTTTGAGAAAAAAAAAAAATATGTTGTCAAGGGAAACTCTTCTAGCATTACTTATAGACATGCTTGATCTATTTTATATTTTATTTTTACTGTCATAAATGCATATATCAGGGATTTTTTTTTCCTCCACCAGATAGATATTAATTTGAACGCCCAACACCCAGCTCACACTGGGCTTGTGTAATTCTGACGGTTGTCTCAAAATAGCTTACAATATATTTCAACATTTATCAGAAAGAGACTGGCTTTATCTGCTCCCTTTTTCCAATCATTCATGGAAATTTTGGGTCAAGTGAAGAAAAATTTTGCAAATTCACTTTATCCCAGACAGACACATTTGTATTCTCCGTCCGTCAATGGTTTTAAATAAAAATCACCCAAGCTTCCCAAAGTAAGCTTCTGTTTCCCAGCTGATGCCCCTGCAAACGTGAACAGGGCGCACGCTTTGATGGTCAGGGGAGATCACACCAGGTCCCAGTGCAAAGCCCAGTTTTGTTCTAAAGCTGAGCTTAGCCATTTGTGAAACAAATAGGCAAGAGTTATAAAACTATTAATTGCTGCTTTAGATTCCTAGATGAAAGCTGTATGTGGGCAGAAGGAATTTGGTCTATTCATAAGCGAACATCAGAAAGGAACATCTCTGGCAGTTCGTGACCCTTCTCCTCGCTCTGCTTCCAGTGCAGGAGGGATGGAGGGATTTCCCTGGGGTGCAAAGCTTGCGGGGTCCTGACACCCACACTTAAATTTTGAGCTGGGAGAGAGGTAGGAGCCGTCTCCCTTCTGGCTGTCAGGGTTTGGCACGTCTCATCTAGAGCCACAACCGTGCACTGGGGATGGTCTGGCTGAGCTAGAGCAATGCTTTGGGCTTGTCCTGTGTTTCTGGGCTGTCCTGTGCCCCAGCCCAGCTCCCAAACCACCTTGCCTTTGATTTTGGTGGCATTTGGCCCGACCTTTTAGAGAAGCTGCTCTATAGGGAGGGTGCAGAGAGAATCTGAGGCTTGTTTTGGGATAAGCTGGATCCCACAGATGCACCTCCAGGGTCCCCCATCTGTGTGTGTGCTTATAGCCTGAATGCATGAGCATCCTTCTGGAAGGAACCTGGATTAGTCATCCCTACCCCACAGATGGGCTGTGTGATGTCTTCTCTGGAAAAGCTAATCTGACACTGAAATTCCAATTTATCCCTGAAAGAGGAGTTTTCACCCCTTCTTCTCCCTTGCTTTTGGCTTAAGCATTAAAAAATGGATCCTTCTCCTTCTCTCCCCTTTGAAAGGCAAGACAATGAGTCCATTAAGCTCTGAGGTTGATCACGAGCCTGTTGTCTCCTCCAGACGTGGTGTAATGGAAGCTCTGGTTGTGGTGCAAAGCTGTGTCTTTAAGGAGCCCTGGCCGGGAGATGCAGTGGAGTTCTCAGATGCCTTTGCCAGGCTGTTTCACACAAATCTGGCATTTCCTGCACCCACAGCCCTGCTCAGCTTAAAAGCACCTCCGGGGCTACCCATTACCTGTTCCTCTGCAGCTCTGCTCTGACCTACAGGTTTGGAAGTGACCTCCCAGTCTGACAAACCTTTTACACCAAGCTTCTCAGACTTGAAAGCAAGTAGAGCCCTGTGTTTGCCCCAGAAATCCTGTGAGAGGGCTGGTGAGGAAGAAAGGGCTGCAGTGGGACCCACCTCGTGTCACTGACCTGGTTTTGTCCCCTGGTGGCTGCTGTGGGACCAGGCTGTCCTGTGTGGGGTCTGCTGGCACCTCAGCATCACTGCAGGGGCTGCAGCCTTTTCTCCCTTGGCTCCTGTCTGTGCCCTCTGTCCCCACAGCTCCTAAAAGCTTGGAAAATTCTGTGGGTGATATTAGACAGGAAAAAAAAGTAATTCCTCACCTGAGAGAGCAGATCAGTGTCCCTCAACCCCCACCACTCTGTGCCAGGAGCAGAGGGATCCCGTGAGTACAGGGCTGCTCCATGTGTCCCCTGGTTGCTTTGATGAATAAGGTAGGTGGAAAAATCTGATTTTGAGGTGGTGCATAAAGATCACAATGATTTTTATTTGCCTTTTTGCTCTAAATTTCTGGTCAGGACAAGTAAATGCATCTGAGGGGTGGAAATGCTTCTCTTTCTTTGATGCTTTAACTGTTTCTCATTAGAAAATAGAATTTCTGCTGCACAAAAATGCCTGGCACCCTGAAACTTATAAATCCCTAAAACACAATAGAAGTCAAAACTCTGGGTTTTTATTTTATTTTTGATTTTATTCAGTCATCAATGATTCTGAATCATGTTTTTGTTATGTTTCAACATAAAATAATCTTAATATTTTACATGGCAGAACACACAAGAGGAAACAAAACAGGCAGATGAATTGTTTTGACACTTCTTCCTCTCAAATCCTCCCTAAAATCGACACCTTCTGTGACAATACTTTGATTTTGGCAAAACTGCCTGTGCTGCTGGAAAGATTGCACCATCTAAGGACTTTTTGACCAGGTCTAATTAGCAGTGTAGGTAGTGGGGCTACAAAGCACTTTGGCAGAATCACAGCAGTGGTGATTTGACAAGATCTAATTTTTCCTGCGGGAGACTCTTTGGGGAATAAATCTTCTCTTCAGTGACTAATTACCTGTTTGAAGAAGGAGAGCCCCATGGGTGAGGTGCTGGAGGTGCATTAAACTGCCTTCCTTAGGCCACTGACAACCTGCAGAGGGAGAAACTTTAGGAGGTAAAAAAGCAAGGAAAATTTCACATGGAAAAATCATCGGCTTTTCTTTTTTCAGCTCCCATACCACAGGAGAACAAGTCTAAAGCTGTTTCTCTCCTTTTCTCTTTGGTCCTCACTTCTCAGAACACAAACATCCCTCCTCTCTCCCCAGGGTGCTTCTGGCCCCCCCAGCCAGGAGCACCCAGACCTGGGGGAGCCCTGCGTCCCCTCCAGCCCCGCTGTCTCACCCACAGGTGGAACCCGCTCCTGCTCTGCTGATCATGGTCAACAAGACCTTAAATTACTGGGGTCCCAGTTTTGAGGAGGACGTTATCAACATCAACGTGGGGGGTCTGAGGAGGCGGCTCAGCTCCAGCGCCCTCTCCAAGTTCCCCGACACCCGCCTGGGGCGGCTGCTCTCCTGCGACTCCGAGGAGTCCATCCTGCAGCTCTGCGATGACTACGACGTGAGCGCCAGGGAGTTCTACTTTGACCGAAACCCCGGATTCTTCCTCTACGTCCTCCACTTCTACCAGACGGGGAAGCTGCACGTCATGGAGGAGCTGTGCGTCTTCTCCTTCTGCCAGGAGATCGAGTACTGGGGCATCAATGAATTCTTCCTGGACTCCTGCTGCAGCTACCGCTACCACGAGCGCAAGCTGGAGAGCCGGCACCACAACTGGGATGAGGAGAGCGAGGTGAGCAGCGTGGACACGTCCCCTGATGAGATCTCTGACATCAACCACGACCTGCTGCGCTACAGCACCCTGCGCTGCGGCAACGTGCGCAAGCGCCTCTGGCTCACCATGGAGAACCCCGGCTACTCCATCCCCAGCAAACTCTTCAGCTTTGTGTCCATCAGCGTGGTGCTGGTGTCCATAGCCACCATGTGCATCCACAGCATGCCCGAGTACCAGGATGTGGATGAGAATGGCAACGTGCTCGATGAACCTATCCTGCACAAGCTGGAGTATTTCTGCATCTCCTGGTTCACCTTCGAAGTATCCTCCCGCCTCCTGCTCTCACCCAACCCCAGGAAGTTCTTCAAGCACCCGCTGAACCTGATTGACATTGTCTCAGTGTTGCCCTTCTACTTCACCCTCCTGGTGGACGTGACCATGGGCAGTGACTCGGAGCTGGGCAACCTGGGCAAGGTGGTGCAGGTGTTTCGGCTCATGAGGATATTCCGGGTGCTGAAGCTGGCTCGGCACTCCACTGGACTGAGGTCACTGGGGGCCACCTTGAAGGTAAACTGTGTCTTTAGCTCCTTATCTACTCCTTTAGTCGCTGGGCAAGGAGGAGACCTCTGGCATGGCTCGGGGGATGGGGAAGTCCCTATTTGCAGCGAGCTCCCAGCTCTGGGTGTGCCTGGTGAGCTTGTTTGGGGTGGTGGGTTGGGCTGTTGTCTGTCTCTAAAGCAGGCAAAGGTGAGGAGCACGGACTGCACACACAGCACAAATCCACACAAATCCAGGTCCTTCCAGGGTCTCAGCCATCCCACTGTGGTATGAAAGCTTCATTGCACAGCGCTGGAATAGACTCAGCCATGCACAGGTGGATGGGCACGCCCCACCAGGAGTGAGTCAGTGCCCAGTAGGGCTGAGAGCGACCTGCTGAGCAGGTAGCAGGCCAGACAGCAGGTGCTGGGTCTACCAGCACCAGGCCTGTTCCTGTCCCCATTCTGGGAAAAGGGAACCCTCCTAAGGGCATGCTGCCAGCTGACCAGAGGCCAGTGTCCAACCTCTGGTGTCTGCCCATTTAGGGAAATGTAGAAATCTTGGTCCAGCTGAGTTGATACTTGAACGCTTCAGGATACAGTGAGGTTGGGACTGGCACAAAGCAGCAGTAGAAAAGCAAAGGGTGAGTTGCATGGCCTGGAACAGCCAGCCCCAGGCAGGGTCTATGCCCTCAGCAGAGGCTGGGTTTTCAGCAGCTGCCCCTCAGTGTGATGGAAAACTTGGCATGCAGGGCTGGGGGAAGCTGGTCCCAGGACCATGTGGTCCTCAGGAGGAAGCTCTGGAGGGGGAAATGCAGACTGCATGGAGGACCAGGGTTCAGGCAGATTTAGAAGTGGCATCCCTGCAGGTCTGGTGAGAGGCTCCACCCTCCCCAAAACATGCCCCAAGCCTGTGTTTCTCCAGACTCCCACCCACAGTACCTCTGGCCTCTTCAGACAGACCAAGGGCTGAAATCTGTCTTGCAATCCTCACTATCCTGGTGCTGCAGCCAGGCCTCCATCACTGCAGCTCAGAGGTGAAGCAGGACCAGCTTCCACTCCCAGTGTGGTTCCACTCACCCCCACCATCTCTCCCCTCCATCCCCCTTCTGCTGAGGGCCATGTTCCTGAATCTGGAGAGAAGGAAACTCACTTCCTGTGCTTACAGAGAAAATCCAGCCTGGTGCAGAGGCAAATTAAACTCAGCCTTTAATTGTCCCTGGCTCTTGGTGATTGCATCAATAGGAATCCTGAAGCTGATGTGCTCCCAATGCCCCACCACACATTGTAACAGAGCCTGAAACTCAACCAAAGGGCCACTCTCCTCCCACTCAGTGCCTGGCATGGGAGGGAGCTGCAGCTCCTGGTGCTGCTCCCTCTGAAGGGCCATGACAGGGGTGAGTAGCTGGGGAACACCCTGTTTTCACTGCTGCAGCAGTGACAGGGCTGGCATGGGGTGTACTGGCATCGGCAGATCTCGGCTGCTGGGGTTGGACCCATTCCCGTGGCTGAGTCATGGAGAAAAGCAATCATTGAGTGTGAATAGGGGTGAGGATGGGCAGCAGAAAAGGTCTTCTGCCAGCTTCTGCTGTGAAGAAGGATCAGCCCTGCCCAGAACTAATCTTGCAGAGCCCACAGAGCATCAAAATATTCCTGGCGTCCTCAAACTCGGCTGAGAAGAGAGTGCAGGGAGGGTTGTCTGAAATGAAGATGCCTGAAGTCCTACCTGCATCATACTTCTGATCACTCACCTTGAAAAAGCACTGACAAGTGACAGACCCAGGTAACACTGTTGATGAAATTTAAGTAAACTTGCACACGTGGAAGTCCTGCTGGTGCTCCATCCAAGCATGAACAACACCTTTCAGCAGAGCAGGCACTGATGGACTCATGTGCATATTACTAAGCAGCAAAGAGATCTGGGGAGCCAGCAGCGTCCTGGCTCTGGCTTCTGACGAGCAGCTGATTCACCCAGTGACGTGCTGGAAAGTGCCCCTTCCTGGGGACTCCATAGCCAGTTCTAAATGGGGATGAGCAAAGACACAAATCTGATGCAGCAGCTTGGCATTGTGATTTAGTGGGCACATAAATTACAACGTCTTCTTAATCATAATTTACTTCCTCTTGCGAGAGCAGAAAGCAGGAGCAGAGCAGTGAAGGCTGTTAACAGCCAGGAAGTGGCAGCGATGGCTCTGGCAAGCTGAGCAATTGTTCCCCTGCCATGAAAGTGCTAGCAGAGGGAATTCTGCCACTTGTGCGTCGTAAACCCTCAACAGTCCTCAGATTGCTTGGGGCCTGATCCACAGAGTGTTTAATTTGAGGAGAGGCTTCCTACACGTCTCTGCTCTTCCTCCCCGCCATGCCCGCCATCCGTTACAGCTATCGCAGCTCCGCGGCTGCGGCTTTGGGTCCCCTCTCCCACTGGCAGTCGATAGATGCTGATCCCTGGGGAATTACAGCACATACAGGGATCTTCAGGAGTTGCTGTCTGTCCCCTGAGGGGCCCAAATATGTAAAGAGGTTTGAACTGCACATCACACGTCACCCTGCTGTCACTACCATGGGCCGTCTTTGCTCGATCTCCACATTGGGATTTCTGGCAAGACTCAAGGTGGGCTCTTCCATTCCGATTGTCTTCTGCTGTACTGCAGGAAAGATGTGAATCTGGCAGGAACCTGGAGAGACTGCTGCTTGGAGGGTTTTTTGCTGGAGTCTTTTATTACCTAGCATTGCCTCCCCCAAGCTGGCTACTTGCTAAGCCTGCAACCCACCCAAACCCTGGTTAAAACTGCATCCCACCCAAAATCTATCCAAGCCTGCATCCCACCCGATCCTTGGCTAAACCTGCATTCGATCTGAACCCTGGCTAAGGGTCCCACTCAAGCCATGGCTAAAATTGCATCTCAGCCAAACCCCAGCTGCAGCTGCCTTCCCCCTCAATCAATCAATGAACCAGAAGTTTAGCAGATAAAGGGTTGCAAATAGGTGGCAGCCAGTGCTGAGGATCAGCTGGGAGATTTCTGGAGCCTTCCCTGTGCTACAAACCCTAACCCTGCTTGTAAATTGAAGCAGCAGGAGCTACAGAGCTGCCTGACTTCCCCTTTGCCTTTCCCCTCCAACACATCCCAGGGCCAGAACCAATACTCTTTAAAAATGCATGAGGTTATTTGGTGCTGCTGGTCCCCAGCTGGGATGTACAGACCTGCTGTTAACTTCCAGCCAGGAGCAGGTCTTTCTTGGCCAAGTGATACAGCCTTGGCTCTGAGCTGTTTGTCCTCCTCGAGGAGCTCCCTTGGCACTGCTATAGGGCACTTGCAGTCACAGGTGAGGGAGGAGAAAGGTGGAGGAGGAAGGGGAGGAAGAGGAGGTTATTTGGTATTACTGGCATTGGCTGAGCAGCTTTTGCCAGCTGTCTAAGCAAAGTCTCCTCATTCCCTGCCATGAATCCACCTCCTTTAAGTCTCATCCTAACCACAGAAGCCTTTTCCCACGTCTGCTGCTGTTTGCTTTGCTCAAATGTTGTTTCCTTTAGCTATTATGTGGTCTCTGCTTATTAGAAGACTGGGAAAAAATCTGCACAATCAAAGCTCTGCTTTCCTTTACCCAAAAGATGAAGAGCAAGCTGGCAGGTCAGTGGGCAGAAACATCTAAAAAAGTGATTGGACAAGCTGTGCTGGGAGGATGGTGGTGGCAGTCTGTCCCCTGGCAGTCCCTTCCCAGCATGACTTGTCCTCCAACCCCCTTGTCTCCCCCTTGGGCTTCTGGCACAGGTTTATGCTTGGTTCAAATATTAGGAATGTACAAAGAAAGATTGCAGCAGGAAGGTTTTAGGATGAAACCTGAGAAACGATGTCTTCTCCAAGGGGCACTGCATACCACTGCCATCAGAGTTGGGTGTCCCATGGCTCTATTCCCACCAAGGCTCCCAGACCCCTTGGGCTGTATCTCATCGAGCTGGGGCTTGTAGCACCCTATAGGATGGGTTCTGAGAGCAGCCCATGCTGACACTGGATGACCCATGCTGAGCCTGGACTGCCCTGGATGACCAGGGATGTTTGGTTTGGTGTCAGCTCTGATGTGATGTTTCTACACGTGTGTAACAAAGGGTTTCATGATTGCTGAGGCTCAGTGGTGCTGGGGTACAGGAGGGACCCTGGGGCTCAGGGGTCCCCATGGAGCCTGGGTTGAGACCTGGGTAAGAGCTGAGCTCAGCTGCAGCAGAGAGCATGTCCTCCTGAGCAGTGCCAGCGACTCAGGAAGGTACAGACTGCTTCTTTTAGTGGCTGCTATTAGGTGGTTTCTGGAGACCTGCCAAGATAAAAGGAAAATGTGCTAAATATTGTTAGCTGAGATCAGGCCAGAGTGAGTGCTGGAGGCAGGGGAGCAGCCTCTGCCGGGGATCCCTGGCTGGGGAGCACAGATCTGTCTTCCCTCCTCGCAGGCTGGTGGAGTGCAGAGAGGCAGCTGTGGGTGCCAGGAACAATTCCTGACTGCACCACTTGTTCCAGATGTGAGTCACCCATGCACTCCTGCCCCATCCCAGCCCACCCCTGCAGCAGAGATGGATAGAGGCACTGAGATCCCTGGTGGAGTGCAGGGAGTCTGTGCAGGGCTGTGTTTGCACTGTGGGATCTCTGTGTCCTGGTTCCTGGCCCCCACTGACCGACTGTGCTTTGCCTTCCAGCACAGCTACCGGGAGGTGGGGATCCTGCTGCTCTACCTGGCCGTGGGGGTCTCTGTCTTCTCTGGAGTGGCCTACACTGCTGAGAAGGAGGAAGACGTCGGCTTCGACACCATCCCGGCGTGCTGGTGGTGGGGCACGGTCAGCATGACCACCGTGGGCT